CAGACAGAGAGAGAGATGCAATGCAGGGACCAACTGGCTTGGCTGCTTGCTTGGCTGATCAGCGACTGACTCACGTACCGAATATTTGTCGCAGGCGGCTCATGATGTCGTTCCCGCTGCTGTCAGCCGACCAGATGAAGTGGGCCCGCTGTGCCGCCTCGCCTTCGGGCAGAGGCAGTCCGAGCCTCTTGAACTCCCGCACGGCGGTCTCTGGCCGAATGCAGCCCTCCAGGTGGCAACGGAGGTCGGCCTTGGGGAAGTTGGTGAACCTGAAGCGCACACACAAACGCAGGAAGGAGCACACCATCGCCATGCATGCAAAAGGAACAGCTGAGGTCTTTGTGAGCGACGTACCACTCGTCGGGCTCGTGGCCGCCTCGGGTCTGGTCCTGCTGGCCTACCGCGGCCTCGCCCGTGCCCCCCGCTCCCTCGTTCCCTCTCTCTTGACTTTCCTCCATCGCGATGGTCACCGTGCGATTCTGCACTGCAGACAGCCTCGCCTGCCTGTCTGCTGACTCGAGTGACTGTCAGAGCTGTTAAGCTCACTCGCAAATCACAACGAAGCGATGTGCTTAGAAACGCTGCACAAGCAGAGCTCTTCCCCGTCTGAGACGCCCACAGTCTCGGGGCTGATGAGGTGACTGATGGATCTGCGACGCTCGGGGCGGGGCGCCCGCCAGGCGAAGAGCGAGGAGCGGCAGGTCGATCTCGTCGTGGATGGGGAAGTGGCTTGTGGTGACGGCCACGGGGAAGCGAGGCGTGGGCCCACACCAATCCTCACTGCAGGGAATGGGACCCCACAATGCCGTCACCACCTCCCTGTCCGACGGAAAGTCGAGGCGCAGCTCGAGGGCGATTTCCATCTCCTCCATGAGCTGACGGGCGGCGGCGTCTTTGATGGCGATATCGCCGTAGATGCGGCTGGGGCGGAGGCTCTCGATGACGGCCGCGGGGTTGTCGGGAAGTTGGTCGCCGGCCAGTTCCATGGTCAACTTGAGGCCCACCTCACGGAGCAACTCAACGCAGTCCTGCTGGCATCACACACAGGCAACAAAAAGAGAAGAGAACACACAGACATATAAGTGTGTATATGTCTGTCTGTATGATCAGGTTAGAATCGTACCTTTTACTGAAGAATGTACGGCGAGGCCCCGTCGACGGTCTCACCAACGAAGGCCTCCTTGTTTTCGATGGCGAAGTGAGTGACGCCAATGAAGTCGTCCTCGGTGAACATGGGAACGGTGCACAGCAGACCAGCCTGCAGACTACACACAGAGAGAGACATACACACAATGTCATGTGCCCTCCCTGCCTGTCTGTCTGTCTGTCTGTCTCCCTGTCTGTCTGTCTGTCTGTTTGTGAGCCTCCCAGCGTACATCGATGTTATTCTGACACCGCCGGCGTCCCTCCCGCACCCCCCTCTGAATGGCGCCGAGAACCTTCTCGTACGAGTGGCCGTGGCCGGTGAAGAAGGTGGGCCAGAACTTCAGCTCCAGCAGCACCACCCCCTGCCGGTAACGGTCCTCGATGGCGTCAGCAACGACCTCTTCGATGACCTCCACCTTCTCTGCCACACACACACACACACACAGACAGACAGACAGACAGAGAGATGCAATGCAGGGACCAACTTACTGGCTTGGCTACTTGCTTGGCTGATCAGCGACTGACTGGCGTACCGAATATCTGTCTCAGGCGGCTCATGATGTCGTTCCAGCCGTTGTCCCTTGACCCGATGAAGAGGGTCCGTTGGGCGGCGTGACGGGCATCGGTGGCCTTCCAAACTGAGGCAGACTCTGAGGACCAAGGGGGCCCACATAGGGCCGCTGATGGGGAAGTAGAGCCGTCTTGCACTGACGCGGAGGGCGTGCATGGTGGCTCACAGCCGATGACAAGGGTCGGACGAGGGTGAAATAGGTTGTGATGGAAAAAATGACAAAGGAGGATAAAAAAAGAAGAGACAAAGCGTCTCGCGGCAAGAGATTCTCGCAGCATGCAGGATGCTGCTGCACCTTGGCCTGCATCCTTGTTTCTCATATGGGATGAGGAAGTGGTACCGCGCTGATAGCAGCTGCCGCCGTTACATTGGCTTCAGCGGAGCTAAGCTCGCATGGGGGGCGATCGTCTTGCCCCCAGCATCGTTTTCGCGAGAAGAATCGTTTCGAGCGAGAAGAATCACCGCCTCTCGCCCTTGTACCTGCTAATTGCAGGAGCTGCAGAGTCTTTTGCCGTGTTTTTGCACCATGTTCCCAGTCCCACCCCCTCCTCCCCCGTCAGTCGGCTCATTCCAGTGCAAGACCGCTTCATTACCCCATCAGCGGCCTTATGTGGGCCCCCCCGGTCCTCTGCCACATTTCGGAAGGCCGCCAATGCCGGTCACGCCGCCCAACGGGCGCTTCGTCCAGACGGTTCTGCAGAGAGGTCCTGGAACCAGGCAGTCGCCTTTGCCACCCCCGCCCTCCATGCTGGGGTTTACACCGCGCACACCCCTGTCGGGCTGCCCGTCAGCCCGACATGCGTCGAACCGGACGCCGGCTGTCCCGTCTGTGCCGCCGAAATTCATCGCTCAACCTATTGTCAAGGTCGGTCAGTGCTGCTTCACGCTTCGGTCTTTTCTGCACTGCATGAGCTTCACACGTGTGTGTGTCCCTTGGTCGCTGTGAGCAGGAGAGAGTCATCGAGATCGAGAAACACGAGATCGAGGAGCAGGTCGTGGAACTGCCCCAAACCGTGTACAAGGAGAAGTTCGTTGAGGTACCCAAGAAGGTACGCCTGTGTCAGACAGACAGACACACAGGCTGTCGGTCATGTCTCCTTCGCCCCATCAGGTCATCCAGGATCGTATAGTCTATGTTCGCAAGCCTCGGGTGACTCGGGACCCCTATCGGGTGAGCAGACGGTGGCCGAAATCGGCAGATAAGAGCACAGACGGGAGGAAACACACGCGAGTCTCTCCTTGGCCTGCGTCCTTGTCTCAGCCTGTCCAGGCCCATCGCATGGCCAGTGTGCAGCCACCGATGAACGTGAATGTGGCACAGTTGCAGAGACCGGTGGGCGAGAGAGAGACAGACAGCATGACGTGTCATGTCTCTCTTTGCCTCTCCCTTGTGCAGACGCTCGAGCCAGGCTATCTGTCATCCTTGCGTCATCAGGTTGTCCAGGATCGTATAATCAATGTTCGTCAGCCGAGGCTGAATCGGGAGCCTTATCGGGTGAGCAGACTGTAGGCAAGATGGGCAGATAAGAGCACACACGGGAGGAAAAAACACGGGCGTCTCCTCTCCTTGGCCTGCGTCCTTGTTTCTCAGCCTGTCCAGGCCCATCGCATGGCCAGTGTGCAGCCACCGTTCAACAGGAATATGGTGTCGTTGCAGAAATCGGTGGGCGAGAGACACCTGCTTACCATCCACAGACAGACAGCATGACATGTCGTGTCTCTCCCTTGCGCAGGGTGTGTACGGCGCTGCTTTGGTGAGCCCACGTCTGCCTCACGTGCGCCCGCCAACTTTCGAGCACATGGCAAGCAAGAGCAAAGGAACCGTGATACTTCATGTCCATTTGTGTGTGTGCACATGCGCAGATGAGTAATCCGTTTGCGGCTCCGCCCCCGGCATATGGTCCGTCGCGCAGGTTGGAGCATCTGTGGTCGCATCATCCGCCGCCAGTCGAGACGGGGGTGCCGACGGTGGCGCGGAACATGGGAAGGGCTCCGGGTGTTGGCGATGTCGGTGGCATGGCCATGCCGCCTATGGGGGCACCGGCCAGGGTGGTGCAGTACGGTCAGACTGGTGCTCTTCGACAGGGAGCTGGCGGGACCTGCCTGACAGTTGGTAGTGGCATGGCGGCGCCCCTGATGGCGCCCAAGACGAGCCACCAGTACACGCAGGCTGGCGCTGGTCGGGAGGCATCTCACGGCACATCCCTGACACACACGTGAGCGGGGCAATTGAGCTGACACAGGGAGAGACGAGGCAGAGGCAGAGAGGGGTAAATGATGTCTGTTTATGTGTCTCCCGTGGGCTGTGTATGCGTGTGTGCAGGCGTGATGGCCCCCGTATGGTACGTGTGGACTTATCGTCTCCCAGTCGCAGAGTATGCTCCCCATGTTCGCCGCCGGTGTGTCCACCGTTGCTCCGCTCGCCGCCCCCTGCCCGTGCAGGCGGCCCGCTTAACCAGCGGCGCGGCAACACTGCCAGGCGACAGCCGCCCCTGCCGCCATACATGCGCCGCCGCTCGTGAGGCGAAGACAGAAGGAAGGAGACACGAAGAGGCAACGGCCCTAGGGTTTGTGCGTTCATGTGCATGAGGCTATAGGCGTTGATTGGACATTCAGATTCGATTGGACTGTCGTCTCATGTGCTTGACGACACTTTTTCAACCATGCATGCCATTGTCGAGTTATCCACCAGCACCATAAAGACAGTCACGAATCCACACACCCTCAATCGACGCAGAGGCATTCACGCCTTGCCACTTGCAAACACCGCTCAGACAGACAGACACCCACACCACACCATGCCGGCAGGCACACCGTCCTCCATCTGTCTGTCTGTCTACTTCTGGAGCTTCCCCTCCCTCCCCCACCCCTCGGCCAAGTCGGCCAGCAGGGCCGCCAGCTGCTTGGTGTGCGACACCTGCGGCGAGTGGTCCGTGTCCAGCTCATACACAGCATTGCTCCCCTCCCGAAGCCCCGTCTCTTGACGATAAACTCCCGGTAGGCCGGGTGCATGCTCTCGTCACGCAGGCACTTGACGTACGCTCGGGGGATGCTCTCGAATCGCTCGGTGAGGGCCACGCGGACGCTGAAGTTGGCCAAAGGCATGTACTCTTGCTCACTTATATACTCACTTTCCATGGATGAATTGTCCTGGTGGGAAACTTTCTTGCTGCATCGATGGATGGATGGATGGCTTGGTCTGTGGGGTGTGTGTCGCGTGAGAAGATGATAGAGAATAGAGGCGCGGCGCGAACGCACAGGGACGTGCCCCTCTGCGAGCTTGTGGTTTGAGCTCGCCGTTTTCGAATGAATGAAAGATCTTCATCCGTTCGCTTCAGCCCGAGGCCAGTTATCGTCCTTTTGCTTCTCCTGCTGACAAAAGCGACAAAGACAGCTTCGTTCGCTCATTGTTCATCGATATATTCATCATCCCGTGCCCAGCCTCTCGTCGGCGTCCACCCCTGCGGCCTCTTTCGCAGCAATGCCCATGCCCTCCCACATCAGCCTTTATCTCGACGACAGTGTGCTCGGACAGCATCTCTGTCGCCTCTTGATCCATTCCTGCAATGGGCTGAGGATGCCGGGATTGAGGTTCATGACGTGATGGCTTACGAGGAGGCGGACGGCAGCGAGGAGGTCTACCGGGGACTGCGGTGCACGTCGCAGATTGGTGCGAGTGACGGAGGGCAGCGGACTACACTGGTGTCGCTTCCGCGGTCTGCTGCTCTTTTGGAGAGTGAAGAGTCGCCAAACCCGTTGCCATTCATTGTGCAAGACGAGGTGAGGCTGCAGCAGAGTGTGGCCCATGTGTCGGTATACGATGGCCTGCTGGTCCTCGGTTTTGTTTGTGTCACGTCAGGCTTGGCAATACTTGCCCACGTGGATTCGTCTGGTTGTCCGTCTGCTGATAGAGAGGCGCCTGGGCGCCTCGTCGTCGTTCCGCCCCTATCTCGCCTTGCTGCCGTCCTCCTTCCCATCGCTGCCCTTCAACCACCTCCCCTTCATTCGCGCAGCGCTGGGCCGCTGCAGCCCTCTGTTAATGTCCATTGTCGATAAGGCGCAGGAGGACTTGGCTGGCATGCACTTCTTCCTCTCTGCCACCCTGAACCTGACCACTGTCGAGAAAACCATGGCGGCATCCGCCGGCAGGTCCGCTGAGGGGAGGGGGAAGGGGCAGATGGAGAATGATGATTTCGGGCTGCCGATGAGCGGCCCGCTGACCGTGCGTGAGTACCTGTGGGCCGTGTGTGTGGTGCTGACGCGAGCCGTGCCCATGAAGGATGCCACCGGGCGGTCGCTCGAGCTCATTGCTCCCATGATCGATCTGGTGAATCACAACTCGTCGCAATACGGTACGTACGTGATGAAGGAAGGCCTATGAGCAGAGGGGAGCTTATTATGTGTCTGCGTGTTGATGGGTGTGTAGGTGCATCGGGTGTGGCCTACAACGAGACGAGCGACGCTTTTGAGTTCTTCACCACTTCCGCATATCAAGAGGGGGATGAGATCTTCTTTGCTTACGGGCCCAAGACAAACGACGACCTCCTGAGGTATAGATAGACCAGAAGGCGCACGTACACACACTGGGCGATTTGTGTGCGTGTGATTTCAGGGGCTTCGGCTTCGTAGAAGCGAACAATCGGTTCGACAATGTCTTCGTTGGCACCATCCTGCAGCCCATCCTCATGCAAGACGCTGCACTGGCAGACGCTCTCGACTTCCATCCTGAGGGGATCCAGCCGGCAACAGATGATGACGATGGCCAGCGGTTAGGACTCGCTTTGTCAGCTGAGCGTTCTGAGCTGCTACGGGAGCACAGGAGTGACATGCTGGAGAGCCTCTTCGGCTCGTCTGCGGTGGTCGGGGTGCAGGGACCGTCTTCGCGCATGGCAGGGGCGCTGGCTACTCTGTTCTGCAGTGACGATGAGCTGCAAAAGGTGATTGAGTGCAAGACATTCGCCCAGACACCCCTTGATTGCTGCCTTTCCTTCCCTGTTTGCAGCTCGTGCTTCTGAAAGGCCCTGAATCGCGCCTCTGGTGGTTTGATGATGAGCAACACGTGACCCCAGAGACCGCTCCCGAGAAGCCTGACCCCTCTCTGTTGGCCGCGTGTGTCGATAGCCCGTCGATAGGCCAGGTGCTTAGAAGGGCGGTTGAAGCGTCGCGGCAAGCCCTGCAGAGGCTGCGCGATGAGGTGTATGAGGGGGCAAAGGCGTATGAGGGGCGGGATGGCGCAGAGTGGGAGACAGATCGGGTGGTTGAGATGGTGGCGGGCGCGTATGTGAGAGAGAAGGAGCGAATTCTTCGGGAGTTCTCGTTGGTCCTCGCTGATTGACCTTGTTCATGTGTCCCGATGAATGTGGATTGACGCAGGGGCACATTGTTACTGGTCTTCGAGGGTATGTATCCATCCATGTATCACTGCTGTCTCTCTACGAGTTATTCCCATCGATTTGCATCGTCTGTCTGTCTGTCTGTCTGCATCGCGCCTCTACCATTTCTGTGTCGCGCCTCTACCGTCACACACACTCGTCTAAGGCTGAGAGACTCTCATCAGACTCGACCACCAGGATGTGGTGTCCGCGGCCGAGGCCTTTATCGCCGAGCGACAGGCGATGGAGGCTGCGTGGGTGAGACAGATCGGGTCGCAGACGCCCGGTGAGCAGAGACATGATATATGACTGTGTCTCCATTGATTGCAATGGGTGCCTTAAAATGCAGACTGTATCAGGTCAGAAGTGCGCCAGAGGGTCAGAGACCTGCTCCAGATGGTTGACGAGCTGCCGTTCGGCCACCTGGACAGCGATGTGTACGACGGCATTAGAGACCGCATTGATCGCATCATAGAGCTGTAAGTCAGGGGCAGGCAGATACATACATATCAAAGACACATCCATCAATCTCTTGTCGTCTGGTTCGTTCAGTATCGATGGCTGCGAGGACCAGAGCGATTACTTCGCTCTCGTCCACAAGAAGTCCCTCGAAGCAGTGGTGGAGGAGGCGGTGAGCGAATGCATTCACAGACGCTAGCCAGTAAGGCATGGAAGCATCCAGCTGCCTGTCTGTCTTGCCTGCAATCAATCAGGGCTTCACCGTGCCCAAAACTGCACCGACACTGACCTCTACACAGCAGACGGCCACCACACAGAGTGCTGCGTCTGTTGATGACGATATGCAGCTGAGTGTCGACGACGCCCCTGCAGATGCCGACATGGAGGACTGACTGACCAACCCAGACAGACGTGTGTGGACGTGTCGCCTGTATGTGTGTGGCCACGGGACAGACTCGGCGATGAGACAGACAAACTCGTGGACACGTTGTCTGCCTGGCGGTGTCCGTGTGCCGTGTGTGCTGCAGATGGCTACTCACACGCGGCTGGCGGACACTCGAACACACACAAGCGACGTGTGTGTGCGGACCGGTGACGTACACGGCTGACTGCCGAGAGAGACTCACTCGATCGAATAGCATCTACATACCTCCCCCCTTTATTTCGCTTGGCTTTGTGTCCGTTTGTCGTCGTCATGGTCGTCCAGCCCACATACACCCACCCACCCACCCACCCACGGCCATACAGAGAGAAGCATTCATACACACACACACACCATCCACACACACATCCACACATCCACACATCCACACATATACAGACACCCCGGGCAGGCGTATACTTACGAGCAACCGGCGGGCCGGCCGGCCGGCCGGGAAGCAGGGCGGTCCTCAGTTAATTCACCAAGCCGCCCCCGCCTCCGCCGACAGCCCCACACCTCTGCTGTCGATGTTGATCTTGGCGCCACCGACGCGATTACCTTCACACACACACACACACACACATGTTAACTGGTCGGTTTCTTGTGTGTCATTGTCGTATGGGTATGCTAGCATACCCATGTGGCCTTCTCATCGACTTTGCCACATTTCATTCTATTGCATTCTCGAACAACCTGAGTGTCAAGCCTCTATGAAGCCAGTGATATGATCAGCCAACGAATACATCCATGCGCACAGGCAAGTTCTGTCTGACGCGCTAGTAGTCGTACACCGACCTGAACTCAATGAGGCACGCACCCTCCTCCATGACTCCCTCCACCGACAAATAAGTGCGACCGTACACGCAGGCTCAGGTACAAACTTGTGCATGCACACGCAGTATGATACATGATAGTGTATGCATTGCACTCACAGATGCGTGCATTCCTCCAGTGCACGGCGCCATCTGAAGGCGCTGATACGCCGACGCTCACTGGTGTCACATGCCTCCTCACCCCCCTGATCTGCTCTCACAGACCGCTGGTCTGCTGGCTGCTCTTTCTGTGTCTCGCTGCTTGGTCCTGCCAGGCTCGCCAGTCGCCTCAAAAAGACCACTAAGTACATCTGGACTGCCTCAGGAGTCAGACAATGCCTGCAAGAAACTCACACGTAGAGAAGCAAGACGAACCATTTACTTGTCCTGATCCGTCATGTATTCGTCCTGTCACCATGCGAACAGGTGTCCTGCCTTGGCCATGCGCGAAGCCACATGATCGTTCTGGCGAAGCCATTGCACTTTTTCCTGCAGGTCTTGGGCGGTGATGAAAGGGACCAGCAAGGGCTTCAGGAGAGGGTCGAAGAATTGAGCGGCCTCCGTTCCACGAGACGACTGGAAGATAACAGCCCCGGACAAGAGCAGTAGACGCAGCCTCACGCTCCAGGGGCCATGCTGAACGACATATGGAGGATCAAGAGCATCGAGCTGTCTCACCAGGAGGGACAGCCGGCCCGCCGAAAGCAAACCACGTGTGTGTGCGTATGTGCGTACCCCAGGCATGTCGAGGAGGTACTTGGCATTCATCATACCCTTCTGCCACTCATCAAAGCCAGTTGCATTCTCGCGGCAGATGTGCGATGCATCGCAGCCATACTTGCTGAAACAAACAACCCCAATACGCACCGAGCAGACGCCTGTCGCTGCATTCGGTCGCGTACGTACTTCTGAAGCTCATTTGCTGCTTCCACACAATCCAATGATGGCTTCCTCCGCGCGTCCGTTACATATACGTGTTCCGACATGCGCCGATCAAGCAGCCGCAGCTTACACGCCAGCTCCAACCGCGCCTTGTCCGTATACCGACCGATGAAGAACAGATCGCCGTCTTTCGCGTCCCACATGTCCTCCCAGCTCTGGTCGCTGAGTTGCCCCCCGCCCCTGTAGAGTGACCTCCATAGAAGCCGCCGCGTCGACTTCTCTTCCTTGTTACCGAATCCCGTAGTGGGGTTTATGTAGGGCTGGCCAGGCACGTCCCAGGAGAAGGCGCGGAAGGAAGACGTCGAAACGAGCAAGCCGGGCGGAGCAGATGTCATGTTGTGTCTGGGATGGAGAGCAAACGGCCGCCCACCGGTCTCTTCTTCTCCATGCTGGCAGAAGTCGTGGAAGGGGACAAGAGAATGCCTGCGGAAAGGACACACGTGCGTCAGCCAGCCAGTAGACGTGCCTTCCCCATTGACTTACCACATCAGCGGACAGTCGTCAGCGCTCAGCGTCAGGTGCACGTCATTCGAAAAAGCAACTTGACGAGCAGCGTGCTTTGCAGCATCAGCAAGGGCGCGAACATAGTGCTGTGACCACAGAGGATTGTGGTTGCGCTTCCACCGCGGCTGACACTTCCCCAGCGGGTGGCAATAGAGTGTCCCATCAGGTGCAGACACGCTCAGCCTCACAGGTGGTAGATCGAAATACGGCATCTTCACGGCGTTGTCAGCCACAGTCGATAAGTCCACATGATGATTGCTGAGCGCCTTGAGGGTATCACTCGTGTCCAGCGTCTCCTCCCACCACCTCTCGCAATGGTTGCCCAGGAGGTCATCAGCGTGCAGGCGGCCAATCAAGGCGTCCAGGGCCATCACGTTGATGGCATCTGCTGCCGTTCTCTCGGGTGTGACCTGTCGGAAGATGGATGAGAAAACGCGGGTGCCTCGGTCAACAGAGAGACTTTGGAAGACCAGGATGGCGACACCAAGACATGGGATGCCCAAAAGAAGGCGGCCCGACACCATAGTCGGAGGGAAGTTGCTGATGAATCCTACAGTGTACTGGTGACCGTTGCGGCATTCCTAAATCAAAGATAATCCCTTTCTGTGCGAAGGGCAAGGCCAGGGGCACGCTCAAATGAGTCTGCAGTAACGATTCACGATTGTAGAACACCGGCGACTGTCGTCTGACGATGGATGTCCTTGTACACTGTGCGCATGCGTAAACTTGCACGCGGGGATGCCGCAAGGCTGTTCCACTCTTGCTGGTGGCTGCGTTCGCCTTCTTCGGTCGCGCCACTTCTAATGACGAGCCGAGGAGGGGGTCCCTATCTCCTTCCGACCCGCCGCCCTCTCTTGACCGCCGTCGGTTCATCGTTGAGCCGACGGCGGTCAAGAGCGTCCGAGCAACGACTAGCCACTGATTGACTCAAATGCGGAGGGCACCGAAGGTGCCCGAGCAGCCGACGGCAGGTCAGTCAATCTGTGTGATTCATGGATGGCGGAGCGAGGGATGCAGCGCTGCAAACCGACGCGGAGACATACATGAATCACACAGATTGACTGACCTGCCTGGGCCCCCTCCCTTCGGACATGAATATATCTCATAGTGTTTATGGTGAGCTGGTGAGGTCAACAGATTCAGTCCCGAATGCTCTTCATACCGCCATGCCTTTCCATCAGCAACACACGCAAACAGCACCGGCACAATCAGGCGCATTCTCCCGCCTGTGGTCAAGCAAGTGGAGGCCGTCAGCCGAGGGCGAGAAGGCGGCATTGGCGGGCCGAAACGAGGACATCGGCACCAGAGAGAGGGAGCTGTATTTCTTTGGCGTGTCGCCCATCGATCGTTGAGCTTGGGTCTGTGTGTACAAGTGTACTACATGAATGGAATGACAGCGAGCTGGGCTTATCCCTCAGCTATCTATCATCGGACAAAGTGTTTCCCATCCTTACCTGCCTACCATACTTACCGTCACGCACACAAATCATTGGTCATCACCTGCGGGCGGCCTGTCTGTCTATCTGTCTCTGTCTGTCAGCCTATCAGTCAATTATGCACACGGACACCACACCTGCTTTGTGGCTGACCCACCCACACACACACACGCCGCTTTCGCGCATATGGACACTCTCACATCACACACAGCATAAGACAGACAACACACGCCACGCGCACACGCAAGCCAGAGAGAGAGAGAGTGCAGCTCACAGAGAACCAAATACAGTAGACACGCACACACACACATAGAGAGAGAACAGTCAGCACCTTTCCTCTCTGAAACCCCACCCATGAGTCCGTCCATGAGTGCACCTATCTCCGACTGCCGCCGTCGCATTCCTTCGGCCCGCTGACGACCCTCATCTCGCCGTCAGCCCGCTCAACGACCTCCTGCTCTTCCTTTTTCAAGTGGCAGGTGCGCTCGAGGCCGTAGAAGGACCAGTGCTGGCACTGTGAGTGCTGCAGACACAGATGTTGGCACAGCTGGGCGCTCCGCACGTCAGCCAGGGAGAGGATGTCGCCGCCGACGTATTCCACACCTTTCAGGAAACAACCTGCACAGGATAGGTAGGACAGAAAGGAGACACACAGATGTCTCGTCGCTGTCTATGCGGAGAGCATCTACCTGCTCACCCACCCACACCCCCACACACCTGTCTCTTCTTCCTCCCCTTCTAGTGCACTGTCTCCCTCTCCACCCAACGGGTCCTCTGGGTCGTTTTGTTGTTCCTCAGGTGACACCACCTCTTCCCTGCTGCTGCTGCTGCTCCTGTCAGAGGTGACCTTGTCGCACTCCCTCTTGCCGCTGATGACCGTCGCCGTGCCGGCAGGGCTCCTCGAGTCCACAGACGACCACAGCACACACGTTTGGTCGCCCACAGGAAAGCGGTACTCGTATGCCACACACCCGTCCCTCTCTCTGCAGGCCGTTATGCAATCGCTGGGCGAGCTGATGGGCGTGAGTGTGTCCAGGATCTCGCCCGTAATTGCCGTTGCAATGTCGTAGCACCGCTGGCACGTGTGGTCGGGCGTGAGGTGCAGCCCGTCGGCACACTCTCGGCACACGGGGGCGTCCTTCTCCACTCCTGCGGGAGGCTCCACTCCTGAGTGGTCGGCGCATTTGTGGCAGTCGTCGAGTGTGCATGGAAGGCACTGCCCGGCGTCCGACGAGAGGTAGTGGCCCCTGGCGCACCTCGTGCACGTGCCGTTCCTTGACGCCAGCGTAGACACACTGCCGGCGTCACACTTGACACAATTCTCAATTGGACACGCTGAGACACACAACACAGACCATGTGTGTGTTGTGTTGTGTTGGTCCAGGGGCGTGGCGTACCCTGGCACATGCCGAATCCGTCTTGGTCGACCAGCACGTACCCCTCCATGCACCGCCGGCACTCCCCTCTGCGACCACACCGCTCGCACCCCACACTGTCGCACAGCATGCACCGCCCGTCGCCCCCCAGATACATGCCGGCGGGACACGGCGACCCGTCGGTGCTGAGCGGCAGCAGGTCGATGCGGAAGGCGGCCGTCAGCAGCACCGATGTGTCGTCGTCGAAGATGACCGTCAGGTCGAACACATGGGGGGGAGGGGGGAGCAGAGACGCCGGCATGGGCGGCAGGATGGCGTCGATCGTCGTCTCCTGCAGACAGACACCACGATTAATGCGGCCATACACAGACGTGTAGGCATCTATCTCTTCCTGTTTGTTGTCCTTGCTCACTTACCGTGCAGTCGACCAGCCTGGCGGGACGGGAGCCGACCTTGACCTGCCGGACGCCCCCCCTGCCGTTAAGGCCCGCCCCACCGACCCGCAGATGATGGCTGACGTCCACCCGGCCCCTCCACGGCCACACGTCGTACAAGACAGGCACTGACACATCCTCGTCTCCACTTCGGTCAATGGCACGCGGCTTCGGCGTCAGCACCTCCACTCGAGACTTGTTCTTGTCGACACCGATGATGCGGCAGCCGGGGCCGTATGCGAGTGAGTCGAAGTGCGTGTTGAGCCCCCATCGCGGCTGCCTGGTGTCCTTTGCACGTGTGTGGACCACCAGGAGGCCGCCGAAGTCCTCGTTGACATAGGACGCGATCAGGCGGCCCCTGAGCTGCCCGTCGAAACAGCTGCCCATGACCTCCGTCAGGCCGCTGATGCCCCGGGTGGTGGTAAAGCAGTGGCCGCCCAGCATCTCCTCGTCATCCTCCCCCACAGATGTGTCGGCCTTCTTCTGACCTCGGGCGCTGTTCGGCGCGCCCCAATGAGAGCCCTTGGCCAGCGGTCCAGCCACGCAATCGGACGTCGGCGGAGTCACCTGCAGCGGCTGTGGGCAGCTGGGAAGCGTGCATTCTGTTTCCATGGCCATGCCACCGTTGTCGGTGATGCCACCAGCAGCCACCCACAGCTGCCCCTGTGTCGTCCAGACGAGCTGCCGCGGCGAGCGGAAGCCCGATGCGTGAACGTCCAGCCACTTGGCCGAGTCGGGGGCGAGGGCGTGGTTGCTGCCCGCTGATTGGTCGTAGGAGGGGACGGGAGACTCGGTCTTCTGATTGATGTAGGCCAGCTGAGTGGTGTTGTGGATGCGCTTGGCGTGGAGGACGGCTGCCGTGAGGGGCGACTCGGGCAGACACCCTGACGCCTCGGTAGGAATGCCGCCGTTGGTCATACTCGGCTGTTTGTTTTAAGTGGGGGAGAGGGCAGGAGAACAGACAGGCTGTGCAGGTGGGTGCTGAGTGTCTGTCTCCTGGTTGGTACTCACTCACCTGAGATATGTATAGGTCTCCGTTGAAGTCGAAGGCCAGGTGGTTGGTCTGCTCCCCCCCGTTGGCCAGAGGCAGACGCTCGGTGAATGGACGCACATCGTCAAACGTGGGCCACCCTGCGCACACCACACACCACACTCCGCTTATCCCATGCCCCCGCCGACCGGATTCCCCACCTCTGAGCTCAGAAATGGTTGAGTTGTAAGGCAGCAGCTGCCCCTCCTTGAGGTAGCCGCAGCCCTCGCCGTAGAGCTGCAGCACACTGTGCGAGACCAGCAGCCGGGGGCCGGAGGACTCGTCGGCATAGGGGTCGAAAGTCAGGCCCATGATGGAGTGGCCCAGGCCGTAGGTCTGGGTGATTGACGCGATTCTGCGGACCTCCTTTGCTGGCTCAGATGCGTTGGCAGGGAATGAGAACACCTGATCGGCACGTGGTGCAGACACGTGGGGTAAATAAGGATGTCTCTGTGTGTGTGTGTGTGTGTGTGTTTGGGGGGGGGGGGGGGG